ATATTATTATTATTATTATTATTATTATTATTATTATTATTATAGTAATAATAACAAGTTTTTGGTGATCCACCGGTCACCCGTCTTTCGTTCTTCGTTCACGTGGACTCCTAATGCGCGATAAAGTTGCAGAGACGTTTTATAGACATTAAGCGATTTGCCTCTTCCTTTCATCTTTTGTTCTGTTCAAAATAGGAAGAAAGAAGTATGGTTTTGCTGCTTGAGTAGCAACGAGTGTGCGCCATATTGTTCTTTCCTTTTTGTCGTAATTTCTCTGTCATTGCGTACGCACAAGGGAATCGTGATCATATTCGATAAAATTTAAATAGTTAACACAGTTCATTCTTACAAAGGCACAAGTTTCTTTCCTGTTTCCGCGTCGGGAAAATTCTATCGACGCTCCAGCTCTATCGACGAACATACGTTTTCTTTTAATCAGCAACAGCGTTCTCCAATCATGTTCTATTGCATCAAATCTAATCGTTATCCGACGATTTCTCAGCTGGAGATATACATTTATAGTCAAGACAAAATTTGAGCTTCTCGAACATAGCATTTCAGGACGGTCCATACGAAAAACTACCTCTCACACTCTCATCGAATCGCAGATAATAATCCATTTAGGAAAGTTGGCGAAGCTTACGACAGCCTTCCGGTTATTTACATATATTAGAACGCTCACGATATACGGAATACGGGTAATAATCATTATTGGACCACTCTGCACATTATACAGCTATTTCGAGCAATCCTTCCTACCTATTTTTAACCGTAGATTGGAAAATGCTGTCTGAATTATGACTCACCAATTACCTATACATAGGTATATATACCATGAAAATACATATCTGTTACGTATGCCTTTCGAATACAACTGGAGGGTTTGTTAAACAATAAAATCACGCGATTGTAACCGAAAGGTTCGTGCGAAAGACGGGCGACGTTTTGTTCAAGCACTAATCAACGCTACAAAGTTGTTCGTTCAATTGCACGATTGCAACTCGTATTTCGCATTAAGGAATCAGTCATCTTGTATTTGTTGTGAACAAAATATTCGCCCGTCCCTGGAAAACGAACCTGGAGTTTACGAACCGGAAGCTAATCATTGTAGGACATTCACTCATACAACCGTGTTTGCGTGAAGCTTCACCATGCAGAAATATAAAAAGAACTTAAAAACGAAAATCGAATGGTAGCACGGACAGCGACACGATCTAGAAAATATACAAAATACGAGTTTCGGTGGGTTTATTGTCGGTAGACACTGGACCACGGTAGGACCCGTGTCTGGCCCGCAATCGTTTGGCAACGGGGTCGTAATGCCTTCCTCGTCGTCGGCAAACAAATATTTTCCTCCTTCATTAGACCGTTGAAAATATGTTTCGGTCACTAACCTGAATCTTCTATGATTTTCTAGAATTTATTTCAAAGGACTTTGCATGATTATCCAGAAGAAATCACGTGAGCCACTATCCTTTTCAGTCACAAAAGTCTAGATACACCTGGTAAGCTTCGAAACAAACAGATTCTATTTATTAATATTAGGCAGACCCTGAAAATAAGCTTTTAAACTCGGCCAGGTGCATAGTAGGCTGTATGACTTCAAATTCTGTTTTACAAAAGTAAGGGTAAAATCGCATAATCTGCAGGCCAAGATCGCATCGATCAGTTAGATTCAGCACCGACCGAGTGTATTTCTCTCTCTGATAAATCTGTTCCTCGCTAAAATGCTCGTTTAGCTCCGTTTCTGTGATAACTGATTGTTCGTGTACAATACTGTTCACCTGAACAATCCAAAGCTGTGTGCGCACAAGCTTGGAGACGTAAGCTTCGAGTTCGTCCGGCTAAAAGGAAGCTTAGTCACCTGTGATCTATGTAATCGACAAGCAGCTGACAATCGCCGCTTATTAAATCGACTTCAAACGATAAGAAAAACGTTCCAAAGCTGGTCTCGTACCAGACATAAAGGAATATTTTTATGAGGTGCGCTTACAGCGGAGTTATAAGAGTTGAGGAAGCTTTGGGCTGCGTGCATACTGGGCCTTACAAGCTTGTGCATTGGGCATGGTTGGCAGCTTGCTCAGAAGATTTATCTGCGATACCTTATCTTCAATACGATTCGATCGTTCATGGAGCTAAGAGCAATATAAGAACTTTGCCATAAATCTATACTTAATTAATTGAGTACGGTTCCTGCACCTCGCTACAAGCACTCCAGTGTGCACGCAGCTTTAGCCTAATCGCGCGAGTGGCGCAATAATTGAACCAGCCCGCAGAGTCCATGCATCTTTGAAGAAAAGAATTGCCGTGGAAAAGTAATCGAAGTTCAAGTAGCGATTTTAGTACCGTTTATAGTTTTGTATCTGGATCTATCGTTGGGCTGGTCCGTCAAACGTGCGGACGATTATGTTTTAAGGCCGATAAATGTCTTTAACAACACTGATTCTCGTTATCGCGGTTGCTTGATTCGAGTCGTCTACAAATCTACGTCTTCTTGCTTGGCCTTGGGCGCTATTTTTTCTGCGCTGTCGGTCTCCTTGACAGGACTGTGCACTTCGGCGACTTCTACAGGTGTCGGGACAGCTGGATTCACGGATCTATCCTCCTCAGCAAATGCGAAGCCGATCGTCGCGCCGATTTTCTGGCTTGCTTGTCTGAACGAGTCCGATAGCATCACCTGATAACGATAAACTATGTTTACACTGATCGTACTTGTATAGTTAGCTCTCAGGATATGCTGGCTCCAAGAACTTGCAGCGATTGTCATATAGAAACAATCTTTGAATCTGTACACTTTTGTACATTTAAGGAACATGAAATATTTTAAAAGTCATGAGTAAATTGTTGCAAGGTCTTAAATCCAACTTACCGCCAAAGTATCATCAGAAAAGGTTCATTAGTTTACCTGTACCACGTTGATGCACATGGACGTCAGAGCCAGCCCGAACACCAGGTATATTATCGAACACATCATGTATATGGGATGCTAGATCAACGAACCAATCAATCTGTTAATTTCACTGGATCATATTCACCTGTCGAGCTGATTGTTTTTTTTTTTTTAATTTTTGCTAAAGTGACATACACGTGCAACTGTGCTAAGTGAGACTTATGCGGAAAGCACGGTACGAAATAGTGTGTGACGGTGATTAGATATTTTGAGTGGGGGGGGGGGGGGGGGGG